CCGCGATCCGTCACAAGAGAAGTGTTTGTATAGGGTGAGACATCTGTACAAGGAATAGCGCTATTCGGCGACAGCGGCGGAGGTCTCGAGAGTGGAGGCATTATGGCCAGAGGCCAATCGCCCTTCAGGCCTTCTCCAGCCTTCGGACACAAAGAACATCACTAGCCGAGATTTTTCCCTGAGCTTCTATCTTCTCGCAACAGGTTGACGCCGGCCCGACGGGCTGTATGTTCTGTCTGCTTCTCGTGTGTCCGTCCCCTCCCCCCCCCCTCGCCATCGGGATAGGATGCAATGATTCTCATCTCTGAATCTTCGATAGGGCGCTATTTCTCGGAAAAAGGCTATGAAAGAGGGATAATTATTCTCGGACGGTCAAGGTCTTCTCTCGACTCGCAGTTCCATTGGAGACGAAGGGACGTCGCGGTTATTCCAAGAATCTGTCATCTTCAGTCGAATTAGAGAAGCGAGGAGCTGAGTGCGGTGGAGCAAGCATCGCTGCGAAAACGGAACGGCTAAGGGAGACTCCATTTCAGCGCGAAGTTGTCGGGATGTTCCGCAGCGATAAAGACCTTTCGGCTATGCGTTCCCCTCTCCGGGTCTGGCTCTGCCTGTGTCTATGACACCATGTACTCGAATGTCCGCGCACATGTGGAACATTTTTAGACTCACGCGACTTCTCTTCCGGATGAGGTTCGAATGGTTCGCGGGTGTTGAGCGAGGAAGCGAATGAACGGAACGAACGAGCGCGGGAACGAACGAACGGAGCAGCAGCGCGGATATTAGCCCACGGCTGGATGCATCCGTTTTGGAATGGAATTGAATAAGCCTTCTCGAACGAACGAACGAACGAACAAACCGACCATCCGACAACTCTGCAGAGAACGACGACAGAGAATCCGTTGCTCCTTCGACGCTGCCGTTCCTTTCGCTCGTGACGGAGCTGAAAACCCGGAGCCGGGTGACGCGACCGCGTTCGCGTGGCGAACTCCGTTCTTCCCCTCTGCGGAACTCTCCTTTCATTCCGGATTCTGTGGACCTGAGTTCCGAATCGTTCGGGCGGAGACTCTCTGCGGGGACGGACGGAAAACATTCCCCCTTCCTTACGGCATTGTCATTCCTCCCAAAAATCATCGGTCTCGTCAGGCAGTCACCGGTCGCGGAGTTCTTTGAAAAACAAATCTCACGGGCAGGAAAAAGGTCCAGACGGCACCGACATTCCTCCTCGGGGGATAAAACACAAATATCACTCCAGGATTCGATGCGCATGTATTTATTGCTGCGATTCGCCGAAGAGAGTCCGAATCGTGAAGCTCACCGATATTTACCTGGCCGACAGAGTATAAGTTCCGGACAGGGGAATACATGTATGGAACCGCAAAAGCAAACAAAGGAACCAGGGAAGCAAGTGAAATGAAGGCAAGCAGTTGGTCACTGCGGTTCTATACGTTTCTTGCGGACGAGCGCTTCGCTTGCTGACGCTCGGTCGGTGCGTCGCTTGGATGGAAGATGTCCTTGGCGCAGCCGATGGAGCGTGAGAAAGTGGCTCGGTGTCCACCGACCAGCGACAACATCTCTTAAAAGCAACAGCGTCCATCCTGTGTCTACCGAGCTTGCGTGCCGTCGACCGGACGACCGTCCTGTGGAGCGTTCATCAGGCAGAGCCGACCGGTGGAAAAATTTCGCTGACGGCCGCGAATATTTCGAGATGCTGGGCGATCCGTTTTGCGACTGCTGCCATGATCCAAGAATTATAATTATACGGAGGGGGGAACGGTGATTCTCGGGCCAATAGTTCCGATCTCTGATTTATGACCGATAGAGGAAGCTGAAACCAAGCTCAGATCCCTCGCAGCTCCCGCAAGTCCGACGCATATCCAATCGGGATCTCCTACGGGTCGACGGAGTAATTTTTGATTGTTCTAATCGCGGATGTAATCATCACACTCTAAGGCCACAAACGGAACGCTGCGCGTTCGCTCGGCGGTCGGAGGGGGAGCTCGCTGTCTCAGTCAGGTCAGCGAAGGGCTCCTCTCCGAACGACTGCGTCTCTTGAAAGCGTCATAAGAGGGGATAGGGATCCGGGGCCTAGGGTCGCCGTCGAACGGACAACGGAGCAGTCGAGCTACCAGCGAGGCCTAAGAGCGAATGATCGACGCGAGAGACGGACTCAAGCAGAAACGCCGGAGAAACAAGCCGCAGGAGAAGTCTAGGCCGAGGGTGACAAGCAGCTCGATCGCACGACACCTCGCCATTCCGGCGAGGAGCTCAAACACAGCAAACGGGCGGGCGGGCGTTTGGTCGGTCGCTCTGTCGGTCGAACGAACGTCGGATGGTCGGACAGACGGACCAGCAAGAGCGACCGAACGACGACCATAATAATACCTCCAGCTGCTCGACCCACGTGGAACATCCGTCTGCGCTCCTTCAGGAACCCTACTACGAACGGGCGGATTCGTCGTCAGCGACAGGTCTCTCAAATAACGAGGTCATTGTCGACTGCGGTGCGACGAGTCGAGGGAGGTGCCCCTGAAGCTCTCGTACAACCTACGCAGTTGACGGCTCCGAGCGCCCGAGTCTCCAGGTCTTGACACCGGCCGGCGGAGATAGGAAAGACCCTTCTAATCTCTAGCTTCTGCACATCCGAATCTATTCAGCTGATACCGTGGACCGAGTTCTGACTTCGCGGTGAAACAGAGCTCCCACAGAAGGATTTTTGTGGGGTTCCATTAGCCCGAATCTCTTGTTCGGTTCCGAGGATCGTAGAGCCGTTCTGCAAGCCCGCATGAGTTCTCATCCCGGACGTATGCCGGAAATCTTGGAAAACCAGAAGCTCACGATATGCTGTTGGACGCGGTGTGTGTGCGTTTCCCCGAAAGTCAACATGTGTTAGCACCTGATCCTCGGAAATCGCTGTACGAGTACGCAGCGCAGCTATTGGGGCCTCGGTCAACGGAAGATGATGTCAGTGATGACATGAATGACGACGGTGAACGACAGAAGCGGATTACGTTTGCTGCTCGCTGAGCAGGTGGTGCCGGAGATAGCCCGCATATAGCGTTGGTTGAGGCGCCTTCAGGCAAGCAAGCGGTTGGCCATGAGCCACCAAACTGCTTGGTCAACGGCTCTGCATAATCTAAAGGGTACGAGGTCAACGCCGCGTCGGTATCGAGGTGCTGCTGAGGTTATCAACCGTCTCAAGCTATCGGGGAGCCTCGGTCGCCGTCTTCCGAGTCTAAGATAGGATGATCGTTGCGTTATTCGTTGTCGTCGTCGTCGTCGTCTTCGTCGTCCTATCCTCCTTCTCGGTCTAACTCCTACCACGCCCTGTTGAAGGCTCCGGCCACGCGGCCACTCCTCGCACGCTAAGGGTGGAGATGTTCTCCTTGGCTGTTCCCCATCTCTTCGGGACTGCCATCGGACGGACCACCGACAGACGGTGAGCGGCGGACGGACGGGCGGAAGGGCTCGCCGTCGTTTTATCCGAGTAGCTCTGGCAAGTAGTTCGACGGAACGAAATAATACAATTCGGCCCACAACGAGGGTAACTCGTGACAGGCAATCGGCTCTCTCGCTCAGAGAAATCTTTCAGGACACATGACCGTCCCTCTGACGACGTCCATCCCACGAGCGAGGATCGGATGTGGGCAGATTCTTTCCACGTGAGGCCAGGATCGACGAACGACGGTCAGTCAGTCAAACCAAATGACAGCAGATTGTCTAGCGAGACTGTCGTCTTGACGTGATTCGGGCGACGTTCCTCACCTATGAAAGGGGACTCGTTTGTTTTTCTCCAAGATACTTTGAGGATGTATAGGCTCGGAGAAAATGAGGAATCGGAGACCAGCCACTGAAACTTATGACGGTACCCAGCAAAGGTATTCGATATAACACTCGGCATCGACTCACTTTCGTGGATTCCGATTTTTCTTTCGCGTGAGGAATGCGTGTCCGCAGGATCTTTAACGATGAGTCGAACTAGCCCGGACCGAGGAACTTCTACTCGTCGATTATACCTCGCCCCGGGTATCTCCGATTCGCCGCTGCTCGCCGAAGCATAGGTACTGGCTAGGATCGGACCGGTACCGACCAGCGAACTTCGCTAGCGACAACGATAAAACCTTCTTCTCTCGAGATAGCTCACGGAAACCAGCCTTTAAAGACTCTGCACGACGGAGAGATCACGAACTGAAATGAAGGAAATCGAGCGGCCTCCCAAGATGACGGCGAGGAGCTCCGCTGTAGGTATGCGACGTGCAAATCCCCAGATTACCCGTGCACAAGCCGTACGGAATGCTTTTTCCAATCATGACGGGGAGCTCGTCGACTAACACGTCATCGTCACCGCGAAGTAGCCATAGGTACACAGAATCCATGGAGCTTCGAGGTGCAACAGGCAAGTAGCTCTTGTTGCTCTGAGACCAAACGCCTGCGGCCAACCGGTCTGTCCAGAGGAGGCGTGGCTCGCAAATTGAAACCGGGAGACGTGATCTCCGTGACAGTTGGCCCTAACCGTCTGCCTCCGAGCCTCGGTCAATCTGTCTGTAGTTCCATCTGTTTGTCTGCGGCTTCGACGTGTCGTTCCACAAAGCAATCGTCACGCTTTGACGCTCACCTCTGACTGGTCAAACATCGGCAAGTTCCACTTAATTGAGAACTGATGGGCTGACTGGCAGCAGCGCTGTGGCTATCTTCGTGTATAGCGTCCGACTACCGCTTTCGCGTATGGAATAGCCTGCGATCGATGGGGAAAAATGTGGGCTAGGAGCCAACGAGCTCGCGAAAGGCATGCACAGTCGTATAGGCCTCTCGAGGATCGATACGATTGGATCAATAGATCGGACAGTAATCTCGGTGTATCTCGGATTCCTGGGAGGAGCAGCCCTTGGGCAGACCGGCAGCGAAGGCGGCGCGGTGCCCCGATTCTCACCCCTTGTCTCGAAATCTACGGCATCTCGAAGAATTTTCATCCGGTGAATTCAAAGAAATGATTTACGTTTCAGGGTATGGCCAACGATTAGGGGCCGTCCCGCAAGCTGTGGGCGGCGAAGATTACCCGGACGAAGGAGAGATTATCCCTTCATTCGCTGAACCCGTGCAGAACATAACAGTCCCCAGAGGCCGCGATGCCAAGATAGCATGCATCATAGATAATCTGGGCGACTATCGAGTAAGTGATTCTCTGTTCGTTTCGTTTCTCGCAGATCTCGCCCGCCAGGAGGGGAAGCTCGTGGGAGCAATTCGGATCTCAAGCTGAATTTTCGAAAGTTCTCGGTCAAGACGATGTAGGCTGAGGAGACGATGAAACAAGAATAGAGGACTGATGCTCTCTCCCGCATCTAATTTCAGCCTGCCTGGATCAAGGAGAAAGACAAAGCCATCCTCACAATGCACCAGCAAATTATCAGCCGAAATTATCGCATCAGTTTGTCGACCTCCGACAACCGAGTTTTTACTTTACACATCCGAAACGTCCAAGAGAGCGATCGGGGAGGTTATATGTGTCAAATCAATACCTCTCCGGTAAAGAGCTCAACGGGATACCTGGACGTTTTGGGTAAGTACCACACCAGATTTGATTTTCCTCAGCTTGACAAGAGTCGGGTTGCGCGAGCGCGGCCAATCAAGAGACCGAGACCACGCCGCTGGAAACGACACCACTGAATAGCGGTTTACTTTGTTCATGATTCCGAGCAAATTTCAAGAGCCTTCGGAGACGAGCTATCGAGACGCGCTGCATTTTGATATTGAATGGTACTGCTCTTCCACGCTCAGATCGTAGTGTGCACTCGCTCGGGTTCATGGGGGAAGGGAGGGGGTGGGAAGCAGTTTCAGGAACTTGACGCGAGCAACGACCCAGATTCCAGCGTCGCGGTCGGCAATGAAACTCCTCATTGATACTCGACGAGAGGAGGTTGAAGTCTTGCTTCAGTCGATCTGAGAAGACGTCTCTCATTATCATTTTTCCAATGATGTTCTTCAGAACAGCTTGGGCTGAGAATATTACGCTGTACACCGATGGGAGCTCTTTCTTGATCCACTCGCGGAACTAGATGCCCCACGAGAAGCTTTTTCCCCACGAGCTCAATTATTGATTATAGAAGCGTGGCACCATAACGGCGGACCCGTAGATTGGAGAAATTTCTAATCGCGTACAGAGCGTATCAATCCCTTGAGCTCGTCTGTTGAGACAGCAACTATCGAATTTTCTAGTCACAGAGTCGATCAATCGATCGATCCAATGTTCGACTCATCCGCCATCCTGCAAAGCGCCATTGATATCGCAGCCCACTAATATGACTTATGGAAAAGGACTTAGGTTACCTCGAGCTACTATTTTACCACTACTACCGCCACTACTACTACTACTGTTACCACCCATTCTATCTCTCTGCTACCTAGATAAGCCATTCTGCTTTATCATCGTATTTACCAAACAAACGCATTCCCCAACCCAAATCCGTAGTGAGTAGATCTGTGTGAGTGTGTTGAGTGAGTGTCTGATTCTCAATCGTCGATAACTTCCAACAAAAACCGTCAACCACACGAATAAGGCAAATCAAACATTTCACACGCGTCCAAAAACACAACAATCATTCATTCATACATCGTATCGATCGAACACTATCATCTCATTCCCATCTTCATATTCATCATCCGAATCATTACTATTAGAATAGAATGGCTAATGCTTCGCTACTATTTCAATTTCTCAACCTATCCCTTCCCCTCTTCCTATCTCTTCCCCCCCTCCATCTGTAACAATCCTCGCTTCGTTTGTTTGAAGGTTTAAGAACCTTCCTCTCCGAAGAGTTTCTCACAGGTTCTCCTGAGGGGCATTTAGATTAGCGGTTCGTTTCTCCTGTCGCCGCCTAGTAGCAGTACATCTGACTTCGTTCATTTGATTTGCAATTATACGACGTTGAATCGTGCTTTTTCCCCCCGATAATCACTCCCTCTCCGAGCTCAGACTCCTCTAGATACGGGGCTGAGTCGATGTTTCGATTGCCTGTCTCCCCTTCAGAGGTCTGCATTCGTTTTCTCTACTATTCGAAGTATGTTTCAGTTTCTTTATTGTCGTAGAGCAGGATTGTCAGTTTCCTATCTATAACTTTCCTCTTTCTTCTCGAAATCCTTTCCTATTGTTTCTGCCCAACTTTATCCTCCTCGCCTCTGTATCCTATGGTCTAACAGTCTTCTCAGTCAGATTTGAATTGCACCAAACGGGCTCCTCTGGCGTCGCGTCTGTCTCACTCAGAATCTCCTATTCTCTACTCCGCGATTTGGCGCCTCTCGAAAGGGTCGCCGGAATCAGTATAGGCACTGTGAGATCTTAAGGATTCGACTCCGTGAATCATTGAACAATGTCTCCCTGCGAAAACTCAATCGATTCTCGATCGATCCAGAGGGCAATGTCACGGCTAGAGCACGGGGACGGTTTAGTGAAGAAGCTCTGGAATTCAAGTAGATAACATTCGTGGCCGTCGGCCGCTCCTCTATCTCGCAGTGCCTCCGGATATTTTGGCGGAGCAGTCTTCGTCTGATGTTGTGGTTCGGGAGGGCGCCAACGTCTCTCTCGTATGTAAGGCGAGAGGCTATCCGACGCCATCGATATCGTGGCGTCGAGAAGATGGAGAACCTATCCCTTTGGGTGGATACAAACAACCCACCAACAACAAGCTGCACACACTCGGTAAGTACCTTTTGACAACATGAGCCAATGTTCTTCCAGCCTCGGTCGGTAGCCTACCGATCTTAGTCGGTGAAACTTCTCTACGTAATGTAATTTATTTAGGTCCTTCGTGTCCTTCGGATAGTTTCTCAGTGCTTTAGATTCGAATTTGGGCTGGTCACACCGATGATAGGGCTCCCCGAACACGAGACGACCGATATCATCCTTCCTATCGGTAGCAGGATCGGTGCTCAGTTTTCGGCAAGAACATGCGGTCTTGCGGTCGAGAGACCTCCGGCTTGAGAAGACGGGGTCAGGCCGATAAGCTATGAGTTCTTGAAAAATTTCGCGCGCTGTCACGTCCACGGGAGCATCCGAGAGCAGCCGCCTCGGTGGCCCTGATGTTGCATAGCGGTATTCTATTTGTGAAACCGAAATAGCTCACTTGAGTCGCAGCAGCCGACCGGCAAAGCTTCCAAAGGAGCACGTTCTATCCAAGCTTCCAGCGGGTCGAACAGCTGCCATACAGCGGGGCTTTGCGTGGCGGCAGCGGCGGCGGGCGCCTCAAGCGACGGAACTGGACATTGCAGAAAAGCAATTAACCTCACAGCGGACGGAGGAACAGGCTTGAAGGAATTCTACTGACGTTCAGCGTTGTCTTCGCTCTCGCAACTCATTAAAGCAAAGAGTTTGCGCGCGTGGTCGACCGACCAGCTTGACTGCCTGTCTTGCTGACTGGTCTTGAAAAGCCTCCCGTACTACGCATTCCTCTGACTGAGCCAGTTTGCGGTGCAGAGAGTTCCACTCCCGTGGAATGGTCAAAACAACCGGCAGCCAGCAGCAGGGCAGAGAATAGGGTCGTCTTCGGTGGCACGACGAGAAGAAAAGGAAGATTCATCCACGTGGCGGTTGCTTAAGTCAATGCAGTGAACGAATGAGTGACTGTCTGCCTGTCTGACTGAGTGTCTGACTGACTGTCTGACTGAGTGAGTGGTACGTGCCGCCTCACCTACATCTTAGCTTCATTACGACGAGCTGACGGTACCGAGAACGGCGGTGAACGAAGCAAAAGCCGCCTCCTCGCCATACCCGAGCGTCTTTCTGTTCTGCTGGCTCGTACTCCGGTGGCCTCGCTTGCCGAGCCAGCCTCGGCGCATCATTAAAAGGTGATTTCCTCTTTTTGGCTTGGGCTCCGCTCTCTTGAGAGATTCTTGGTCGTGGAAGCTCGGGCTCGCGATATCGTCATCCGGGTGAGAGAGGAATAATTGTTCGAGGCCGGGATCTTGATGAACGCACGCGGATTCTTTCCGGAGGAGGCTGAAGCTATTAGAATCCAGAGGCCAGGGGAACGAAGAAGTCGCCTGCGAACTCAGAAGTTCGAACCCGTGCTGGGACCGGTGAATCCGGTGCGATGAATGTTGGTCGGAATGAAATCATCGGTCCCCAAATCCACGGCTAGCCAGCCAGCAACGAAAAAACGAGAGCTCGTTGTACTGAGGAGTTCGGTGTAATGGGATTCCTTGAAGGGGAGTCTTGCTACCCCTCGTCTCAAGGGACCCTCGAGCCGGCCGCAGCTTCAAACGACACTTCTCCCCAGTCCTAGAATCTTGACGAACTCCGAAGCCTCGATGTCCCACCGAATCATGGAGCTGGAAAGAGAGAAATTCCTTCCGGGGATAGATTGCTCCTGTTTGGATCACTGTGGAGCGTTACCATTACTATGAACCCTTTCTGACTGGATTTCGGATACGAGGCCCAGGAAATTACCGATCAGACAGCGGAATCACTGGAGAGATCGAACTCATTCGAGGCTGCTCGATGGAGGGTCATTGAATAAGGAAAACACGGGATCGTTCACACCTTCGAGCATTGCTATCAGCAGCGGGATCCTCATGGCTTCCTGGCTCTCAGACCACGACTCCTTGACGATCATTATACGCTTCCGCAGGGATCGATATCATCATAACCTGACTTTCTCCGAACACGGGGGCTATTTGGCCTCAACATCAGTGGTGAGGCTCGATGAGAGTGTTTCAGCGAAGATAGACCATCTTCCCCGATGGAACGCTTCACGAACGCGCGTTTTCGAATTCGATTTGAACGGCAGTGGAGTGAGCGAGAAGCTCGGTTCGTACCATTGCTGGAGATGTGCCAACAGCGGTTCTCGTCCATCGTAGGGAGCCTCTGGAATAGGCTAGGACTCCAATCGTCCCGATGAGCAAAAAGGAGATCTTTTCAAACGCGTCGGCGGAGCTCAACTGCGTTAAGGAAAAGCGAACTCGCGAGTTTCTTCTGAGATTATGATAATCTCCGCCGAGGAGGAAAAAATCTGTTATCTTCGATCTCGAGCTCGCTTTGTTAGAAGTGCCGGAGGCCAAGCTTCGCCTTCGAATGGGATTTGTTGTTGGGACACTTTACATACCAAAGGGACTCCAATCGAGCTTCGATAACGTGCACAATCCGCCCGATCCGGGGACTGAATGCCTCCTTCCGATCCGGCACTATTCGTCACGGATTGTTTTTCTCTGTGAGGGATCCTGTCATCGAGTCACTACCTCGAGCGTCCTCCGACGCGACCTCTGCTGCGTCCGACCGTTCGGATGTCAGAAGGTCTCGCCCGTGGCTTCGGCTTTCTATTTCCCTCGCTGCATACATAATGTCATTGGCGTCTGGCCTTGCGCCGCGGTCAACTCGCCGACGCGTTGCACCGCTTCGTCGACGTTCGCAGCGAATCCGCGATTGAGGAAGCTGTCAACAAAATGCATTTGGTGCCCCTGTCTGCTGCCCCTCCTACAGTGACTGACTGCAGTAGTGTTTTTCGCTCCTGACTGACTGATCATGCGCTCGTCTACGTCACGCGACGACAGTCGATGGTGTTGATCTTTATTTGACATGTGTCAACGAATTTTTCCAAGTTGCTGCTTCTCGACTTTGAATGGACTTGTGCATCCACTGTCTTGCAGCGAGTTCCCGCTGTCGTCCGTTGTTTTTATTTTTCGCGCTGCTCCGCCCGTTCGGCGGCACGGTGGCAGCGAGTTCAGGAATAGTTCCCTCGAAACTTTTCCCAAGCGGAGACTCCTTGAACAGCGGAGCGCTGGGGCGGAAGAAGGAAGTAGATTGAATCGATCCAAGCGTGGGGGAATGAAATTTCGATCGGCTGGAGGAGGATTAATTGGTTCAGGAACTTCATATTCGGAGATTGAGGAGAAATCGGGAGTCGGTGTTTTCCGAAAATCGTCCTGATTATTTATGCTCCGAGCTGGATCGTTCCCGGTGGACACCGCCCCACGCAACAGACGCGGCCTAATTGTCAGAGACTTCGAAGCAAACGAGCGCAATCGAAATGGAGAGGTGATGGCAGATGTCGCGCAGCTGCCTTGGAGGAGAACTTGTTCTCCATGCGGGCTAGCAGCACTGGTCTCCTTGTTACGTTCCAACTCGCGTCGGTGTTGATGATTGCCGCTGCCGCCTTCGCTATGTTTGGAGAGGAATGACAGAGGAAAAGGAGAACTGAGACCAGTTTTTCTGAGGACCGGCCGAACAAACGGATACTCACCAACGGGAACAGCTGGCGACAGAACGTTGGGCAAGGCTGCGACAGCGTAAAGCGGCAACAGCAGCACATAACAAATCGTTCGAGTGGAATATACTCAAATAAAAATGTTCGGTCATTGATTCGGCCCCGGGAGGCGATTCCGCCTGCTCACACTGTAGCTCCGATGGATCGACGGGAAACAAACTCAGAACTCTCCTTCGTAGATCGGAATCTAACTCTTGATTCGTTTCCAATCCGAATTTCATCGCTCCCCTCCGCTCAATATAATGAGAAGGCATTCGAGCCCAAACCTCCGCTGATATAACAGGCAGAACGAGAAGAGCGATGAATTCGTTCCAAATTCCGGTGATCGAATTGAGAATTGCTATCCAAGAGCTCACGCGATCTCGCGGGAACGAGGCACCGCGTACGGCAGAAAAAAGACTCGAACTCGGGATCGCGGACTCGCCCTGAACTTTTCTCGTCCGTTCCATTTCTCAGGCTTTGGAACCGGTTCTCGCTAATTAAGATCCCTGGGATTGAGCGTTCCTCGCTTCCGGCGCAGAAGGATTATGCGGCGGTGGAATTATGTCCGGAGATTTGATGCACCATCGCGGAGGGAAAAACATGATATGGAAAATCGTGTGGGAAATCGAGATCAGTCCCAGATCCCTGACATGGTCTCCCAGCTTCCGAAAACCATGAGCGAATATTTCCCGTCGTCGCGGTCGTGGTCAAAAACATCAGGGCCCTGAACGAAAATTTTGCGCTCACGCATGGGAGCTGTCCACCGCCGGAACTAGGCGGGCGTCGCATCGGGCTCGAGCGCCATAATCTGCGATTAGAATGAACGATGATCAGCCGTGGGAGTACACGTCGAGTCTGTGTTCTAATATTCCGGGCCAAGATCCAAGCCGGTGGACTAAGAGTTGTTATCCAGCCTGCTTTCTCACGTAGTCGCCGTCACGGTTGCCGTCAACGTCATTTGCGTTAGCGCCTCTGGCGTCCGTCATCAACGTATCTTTTGATGTCAAAGGCTGCTACCCGCACCAACACAGCCAGCAGCGGCCCTGGGCGGACAGAATATTCGTCGCATCTGCGTTCCTTATTCTCTGCTCCGTGCGTCCTGCGGCTGGATAACTGGCTCCTCCGCTAGACCGAGCTACTCCGTAGACTCTCGTGTGCCATCGGCGTCTCACTCCCCCTCCCCTAACTCCTTCCCCTAAACAACGAGTGTTGAGGATATGGCACCAAGTCAAGCACCGGAGGGAGACCGTCGGAAAAAAAACGTATCAGAGAGAGAAGGAGCGAGGATTCTGCCTCGAGCCAAGCTTCCTCCGATCCGAAAGGGTCCACATACCCAGCAAGCCTCAATTAAGGACAAGATAGTAGCTTTGAGGCGAATGGACAAACATCTGGACGGACGTCACAACTTGGCGGGCAAGACGATGGAAATACATGATGCCGAAATCCCGAACAGGCGGGCATGAGACAAGAAGTCGCGCATCGATCAACAATACGCATCAAGGAAGCTCAATCAATCATCCAATCAGTCTGTTTGGGAGAATTGTATCTTTGGGCGGTTCCGCCGCCTAAGCCGAATAATGCCTCATTGTCTTCTTCGAGGGTCGACTCGAGTTCAATCCAGGAACTGCACTGAGTCGATCTCAGTCTAAAGTCTGCGAGACTTACTCCCCTATAAACGGTCGAGTGAGTTTTGAAGTTGCACCAGCGACGATCTCAGCCTTCGTCTTGGGCGGGCTGTCGAACGGATTCTCCTCGGATGAGAAGAGTAACAACAAAAGCAACGGCCAACTCGCTCGTCTCTGACCCAGGAGCCTGAGCAATCAACGACGCGACGTCGAAACAAAGAGAAATAATGAGAGGGAACAGACACGACGTCGCTGCTGCATCCAAATGACAAACGCCTTGCGTGTCGTCGTTGCCGCCGAGGCCGACGTTTCTTTTGTGAATCCTTCAGTTGGCAGACTGCTCACTCGCTGGCTCGGTCGTCTACCCGACTTTCCGTGAGAGCAGGGGCTTTTCGGTCAACAAACGCAAATGTCATTCACAAAAGCTTCTGCGAGACGGAGAAGAGGAAAATGCCGAGAGCCAACGTGCGTCAAGAGTCTAATTAGGTGATGCACCATTTGAGTTCGACTCCGGAGTCTTGATCGGGAAGGCGACGGGAAACAAAAGAAAGTTCGCTGGTCCCGTGTGAATACGCAGTTATAGAGCAGCAGTGTCCGACGCGTTGTATAAGGATATGCTCCCGATAGAGGCTTGGTCGGATAGATCAAGATATAGCTTCGGATACGAATTATCTGTATCGCTCTCATGCTCATGAGAGAGTGCGGAGAAGGCGAGGAAACGCATCCGGAGGCGCCCTCTCGAGGCTCCCCGCTCTCGGGGAGGCTCCTCACGGAACTTGCCTCTCGACGGGCTCCTTGTTCCCAAACCTCATATTCACCATCCGGTTCTGACTATATCGGGTGTATGTGACAGAATTCAGTCGACATCGGACTCGACGTTCGAGCAGTCGATTCCAGGAATTGACCGGAGACTCCATTCTGAACGAGAGCCGGAATTCCATTATGAACGTGGCGTCGTCACGTCGAGCAGATGACAGGAATTCAGAAAATGACCTCTCGATTGTTGACTCAGAAAACGGACTTACCATCGAGCCGATTAGATTCTACATATATGCTCTGAACGGACCCGACCAGGACGTGACTCTCTTGCGAGTGGAGCGAAACGGAAGTGACAAGCCTCCTTTCCGTGGACTTCCAGAAACGCCGGTGGTCTTGGAGACTCCCATGGCACACCAGAGAAGATGCAGCGACGTCAACTTATCGCATCGGTATCAGATCAATAGGGGTCGAAGCCGAAAAGCACATCATCGACGTCGGAAGCCCAGAGGCGGCACCGCAGAACGGATGGCGCTCCAGCCGAGAACGAGGATATCGAGGATGTTGTAGGGCGTACGCTCATTGGAGTATTTAGCTGCGCATATTGAGCTTGGGATTGGACTTTAATGAGGCAGGGCAACAACGACCTCCGTCATCGCCGCAGCAAACAAATCCGAGCAAACGAACGGCGAGCGAAGTAGCGGGCGACTGCAGCCGATTCGATTCGCGACCTTCTTGATTTCCCGGCTTTCTTTCCGTTTCTTCCGGCGACGTTCCTCCAGTGTCTCGCTCGGTATCGTTCGTTGCCGTCATCTCTTTTTCTTTTCCGTGCACGCTGTCGGTAACGTCGCAACCGCTCGGGTTTGGTGTATGTGGGTCGGATGTGAAGAAAAAAAACAGAGAATAAAGGACGAAAAAAGCGGTCGGGAGATGATGCGTGAAGCGAGCGGCGAGCGAACGGAAAAGGAACGAACTCAAGTCGACCCCATTCAGCCTTGGGAATGAGACGATCAAAGACGGCAAAGACTGCGGCGGTGCGAGGAAAGGAGGAAATAAAGGAGTGTCGAAACGAAAAGGAGTCAGGAACGACTTAGCTTCCTGAGCTTCGTCTTCAGCGTCAAGTATACGGCGCTTGTTGTTGCTGCTTCTCCCGCTGTCGTGTGGTCGTTTCCGCCGTATTTCTCTTTCTTTTAGTCTCAGTGGTGATTCCCGAGATGAGAGAAAATCCAGGCGGGGTGAAAGGTGGTGTGCGGAGCTCACGGATACTCCGTCGTCTGCTCTCAGGGCTTACGTGGGTGAACTTGAATCATCAGCGTTCGCGGAGAGCTGAGTTCCAAGCGTTTCACCCGCCTGACGGAATACGGTTTTCGGATAAATATATAATATAATTCGACTCAGTCGCTGGATTCGTTACTTCATCTTTATTCAACACGATATGGGACGGGGACGGGGATCTATGCATAAGTCGACTGTAGGAGCTCTGAAAACAACTGGAATTTTGGTCGGGGATTCCCGGATTGGTCCTTCGCACAGTATTCCCGTGCCACCGTCCTGACGCCAGCGAGGGAGCGAGGAAATACCGGGAATGAGATCTCCAAAACAGACTTCGTGCTGGGAGTCGACAAGGTAGTCGTCGTTGCTTCGACTCGGAGCCGCGGGCGTTCCCCGCCACAGAGGACCGTCTTGGGAAGGGAAAATTTTCGCAGAGCCGCCGTACCTAATCGACGGTCAAGTGGGCGAGTCACCGTTTCTTCAACTCTGAGGACGTCTTTCGTATATGTGCGTCTTGACTAAACTGAACGGTAGTTGAGCGAGAGCTGCCGGCAGGGAATCGGAGACTCGCATCGAGGAATATGACTAAAGGGGAGTTCACGTGACGGAAGACTCCGTGACCGTGATTCCCGTGGAAGACCTACTTCTCCCGGTCCTCGATGAGGATCTCTCGACCGAGAAATGGGCGCTGATCATCTGCTAAGGCAGTTGGCATCGCGATTGAATTCCCATACCATTCACCGTAATACCAGCGATTACGAGCGGGGGGAAGGCATGAGCTGTCCGGCTGATAGGTACGAGGGACACGAAGGCCAACCAATAATTTTATAGAGAAGTTTCCGTAGGTTCGGAGGCGTCTAGTACTGGCTGCTGTCTCCTTGCGGGACATTGAGCCCATCTCCGAGGAAGCATAAACAATTCGCATTTCAGTTCATTCTTACACGGGAGAGACATTGAACATCGCCCGAGTCTCGCGGATACACATGGGAGCATATCTTTGCATCGCCAACAACAACGTTCCATCGCCTGTATCGAGACGCATCATGCTCCATGTCCACTGTAAGTATCTCAGTCAGCTGGATCAAGGTACCAGTCGGGGAAATCTCTCGACGAATCGCAAATCTCTTCCTCTCCACCCTGGCACTCCTCTCGAACTCCGGTGGGGTATTGGCTCGAGCTAGGCCGTTCTTTCGGCAGGATATCGAACGAATCACCGTTGTCCTCCTTGCGGAGCCTCTCGCCATACCGATGGGAACTGATCAATGAGGTCGGAGTGAACAGCAGCGGACCCTGTTCGCGTTCAGTCTTCAAAATAATTTCAATTGTTTGAATCGAGCTGGCGCTTTTCGCTCGCGGCATCACAACGCCGCTAATTGTAGGAAGCACGGTCGAGGGAGGCAAAGCGGTCCGTCGACCCGTGAGATAAAATCCAACCAACCCGGATTGACGCTCTCCAGACTGCTGGAGCTATCGGGCCCTTCGCTGTTGTCCTTGTTAATGTACGCGACCATTTGTACGAAATGGTAACAATCTTACAGCGTATCAGTCGCACTTGGACACATTTTTTTGCCCCTCAGATCGCGAATCTTTTAGAGCGTCTTTTCGGGGACTGCGAGCTGTCCCATCGCTCCCCATCCCGTCGATCATGTCTGAGCGAGAATATCGCGCCGAGTCTCTGTGATTCTCCTGCTCGGAGAGGCGTCGCTCGTATCTCGGGATGGCTCCTACAAAGATGTAATTCGAACAATCCACAGATCGACTCAATGAATACTAAGGACAGCAGCGGCTGCTGCCAAAATTTTCATGGTTCCCTCTCGTTTCCCTCCGCGGCTGCTACCATCGCTGTTCCCGAAATGGGTGTTTAAAACCCCTGGCTCGACCTCATAGCGTCGAAATGAGCCGACGAGGGCGGAAAATGAACAGAAGTTGCGAATGCGCGCTCACGTCTGACTTTGAGTGACTCATGGAGAGAAGGAGAAGGGGCTGACTGGGAGAGTGCGTCGCCCACAGCTAAAAGTTTCGAATTCGAATGACTGGACAAACCTTGCCTTTGTATTCATCTCTGCTCCCTTCCAGCTATCAATGCTCTCGAAGGAATTCACTCCCTCCTTTTAACTGCTCTTTGAAAGTATTCGGAGCATATCTCCCGGAGATCGAACCCGTGTCAACGCCTCCTCGATCAGCACAGGAGGTCGGAGCGTGCCATCGCAGGATTATTTCTTCATCGCACCTGATGTCAGTCCAAACTTGGTTCCGAGGGATAAATTCCCGCTTGATTTGAATACCTCTTCCCAGCTCAGTGGAGCTTGTTTATCCTTCTGTGGGATTCACCCCGATTCCCGTGCGCGTCGCGGACGGCATCCTCAGACGTAGGGAAGCAGAAGGAAAATACATCCGCAATACCTCAATGCTCAAACCTTCCGGGAGGAACACTCATCTTCGGCTCCCAAGGCTTCGGCTGAGGCTCCTTACGTTTCCCCCTGTCGCCAGTTCCGGTATATACCCCGCTTGTCATCATTGGAATCCATTTGGCGAAGTCTCGCTAGGATATTCAGACTGCCGGCTTTTCCAATGAGAAGAGAGGCGCCCAACAAAAGAGGCTCTAGCTCCCTTCTGGCGCCAAATTATTCTGCCGATCATCATTTTTGAGACGAGAATCTCAAGTCTGATACGGTCTCGCTGATCCGTCAGCAGTTCTGCACCTATTATTCCTATTTCTCGGGTGATGAGTTCCCTGTCACCGACGGATTCTCGTATCTCCCCTGAGATATTCCCTCTCGCACTTCCGGCACGGAGGCATGCTTCGTCTCAAAAGAGCTGCCTCCGTCCCGATTGGTGTCGGTATCTAACGAGTCGTATCGGAGCCTGCCCCCATTTCTCCTCGAGTCAGACGCAATTGAACTTGACTGCAATTAGGTCCCGAAACAACTATCGGACGATCTGCTAAATGATACATAATTTAATTGCGTTCGTTGGACCGTTTCACTAATTGTCGATCTAGCGAGACGGCCGGCCGGCCGGCCGGCTGACTATTCGGATATCTGTCGCTTCCGACGAGGTCCGACGAGCTCTCCGAATACCTGACGGTCTGTTCCGCATGTCTCAAACGGAGGCGTCGTTTTGAGACCATTCGAAGCGCGGCGGTAATTTCACTCATTGATTCGGGCTCCACCGAGCGGAACCGTCCGACGGGGACATTTCGATCATTAGTTTGGACTTTGAGTCGATCACCGGGCGGCGGATATCGGCTTTCCCCAGTTTGTATTTCGCTGAAGTAGACCGCTGGCTTCCCTCCGACCTGGTGAAAACACCCGAAAATGAGCCTTCACCGGACGGATAGAAATCTGCCACCTTCTGAAACTCGCCGGCGAACTTGCAACCGGATCGGTGTCGCAGGGGTCGTAAAAAGATCCGGAAACAATGCCGGAGAGGGGTGAGAATAATCGGTGAAGAGGAGCGAAAATCCCGAAACTCACTCCGAGAGCAGAGAACTCGCTCGTACTGGAGCTTGTTGGCCGCTTTCCACACTATTCTGAGCACCCTGCGTGGCTGGCTAGCCAGCTTGCTCTTCCGTTTGGTCCGAAGTCAGTCGCTCCAGCTTCTTTTGTGGAGTGCCTAACTCCTCTATGAACTTGCGAGTGCGGTGGACGATCGCGCAAAGGAGAGAAGTCTTTTGTTCTTGCTCGTTGGCTCCCCGTGGCCGCTTGAGCCGGTCGGCCTGGCGGGCGAGGAGAGAGACTCGGCCCGTCGTCCATCGGTTGTTGAGCCGAACAGCAAGAGGGCAAGCGAGCTTTGACAAGACTCATTTTCGATTGAGGCGTATCTCGATTGTCAGCGCAGCCCTTGTTCCATTCTCTCTCCCCGGCGTCGTATTTCTCCTCTTTTCCGACGTTGGTGCTGTTGTTGTTGTCGTCGTTGTCGTTGTTGATGTTGCTGCCACCGGAGTCGGCGTCGTCGGAGTCAAAGTCGTTGGAGGTCATGTGCAGCGATAACGGAAGGCCATTCGATCCCCTTCTGCGCCGGTCTTCATGACTCTTCTCTATGCTCCTCCGGTTTTCCTCTACTGGTCATTGGCGGTATCGTCTGCTTTTTCGGTCTATTAGGGGTTCAGATCTCGGACGGACGAACAGTCAATGATGCGACTACTGCGACCCTTGCTTTGGTCCTGTAATGTATCCCGGAATTTCATGGCAAAGTTCTAGTGCTCAGTTTCGCCCCCAGACTCGACGCCGATAAGGTCCAGCCGCGGAGTGCAGGTCAACGCAGAGAGAGACAAGTGTCTTCGGAACGGCTCGTACAGTCAGACGTTCCGAGACGCAGGCTATTTTTTGTCGTTAACATCGAATATTCTTCCAGTTTCGCCGGTCATTTGGATACCTCAGCAATTGGTCGGTGTCGCACCTCGGCACAACGTTTCTCTTGACTGTCACAGCGAAGCTTATCCTCTGTCCACGATCCATTGGTCGAAGGAGGGAACTCGACTATCGGGAGAAGGCAGCCAAGCCTTCAAGTATCATATCGAATCGAAGCGAACTTCGTCCTACAAAATTCGCTCGATTCTGACAATCAGAGATATGCAGTCGACCGACTACGGATTCTACAAGTGTGTCTCCGAGAATATACTCGGCTTCACCGAAAGTTCAGCACAGATCTACGGTACGTAAACATTCGTCGGCTTGACTCATTCAAGTCTTCCGCGGAGCTTTTTCTGCTCCTGAAACTCGTCTCCGTAAGAAATGGGAGCTCTATGCTGGAGTTCATTTTCCTCCTTATCTCGCAGAATCCAGACGGCAAGTTTCTATTCCACCGGTGAACTGAGAAAATAATAGGCGAAAAAATAAGTGAATCCCTGCTGAGCTCTGCAAGACCATGATCCCGCTCCCGCGATTTTCGCTTTCAAATGATTAAGGTCACCATCTAGATGGGAGTGTTCATGAGTGACAAAAGCTCACATTTCTGCTCTAAGAGAAGTGGGAATTATTCCGCGGGTACACTCGAGTCAAATCAAAGAAGAGAAGCACACGACAAGAAGTCGAGCCTCGGATTCTGAGCTAGATGCTAACGATCTATTCCTTCCTCCCGTCTTTCCCTCCGCAGAAGTATCGCCAGCCAGATCCTCCTCGACGCAGGAGTCCATGGTCGAAGACGACGAAGACGATCACGACCCCACCTACGGCATGGGAACCCCGGAAAAATCCTACAGTGGTACGCATTGTTCTTTACCTGATGCTTTTGGCTTTGGTGGAGCTTCACGTAAATTGAAACGCAGTACTTGGCGCAGAAAATTAGCAGCAGCAGCAGCAGCCGCCGTCGCCAGGGAACTCATTCTAGCTATGCCGCGGTACAGAGTCCGAGTTTGTTTACGAACATTTGACATCGCCGACTCCGAGGGAGATGTGCGAAGTCAAGTTTTGAATCTTCTATCGGGCGAAACAGACCATTAGAGTCTAATCGTGCCATGAGTGTCTTGTTGACTTGGTGGGTGTCATTGTGGTCTGTATGAATGTTCTTCAATGTTCGCTTGATCGATACAGATCGTAGTGATACCCTGATCCTTCCGCTGTGTTTTTGATTCTCGTGGTCTCCGGTGTTCTAGCTGTGTGATTGTTGGGGAGTGATTGAGGGGTAAATCCATCGGCCGAGGTTACTCTACGCCTCGACCCTATGCTGCCGCTCGTTGCATCATATCGAGTTCCATGCATGAATTTCCATTCCTCCCCGTTGAATTCTGTTCCGTCAAAGCCGACTCTCTCTCTCGACTGGGGTAGGAGGGAGAATTCAAATCGTACGTATTGTCGTTCGCTCCTCCTGTAACGCCACATATCGCCTGTTTATTATGTTGGAGGTACCTAAGTCGAAGATTGATATTCGCTCGTTTCTATATCGTCCCATTCCGGATAATGCAGATTTCCCATTTCTAGATTTCAAACGTGCATGTTTTTTGAGAATTGACCCCATTCGACGATATTTACTGACTGCATAATTGCTCCGAGCAGCAGTCTGTTCAGTGTCAGTTTCTCTCTGGGCGTATTCCCGTCCCTGATTATGTACTCTCCGCACAATCGATGTACGTCAGCAGAGTAGATCGGTGATGCCGTTCTGATTCCCTGAATGTCAGAGTCCGTTTCCGGGATCTGCGAGGTTAGCTGTCAGACGATCCAAGGTAGAAAACTAGACGCGATAGCTGGCTAGTTATGAGAGAATCACAAATAAAGTTCATTCGAAAACATTTACCCGTTCGACGCCACTCCTGGTTGCGCGAACGAACGACACGACAAGCAGACACCTCGAGGAAATACGTTGATCCGAGCACCGCGAAGTGTATCCAAAATCATAGATATTTTCTCCTCCTCTCACTCTTCTCGGCGTGAGGGATTAGTTTAGAGAATGAGTGATTCCCCCTGATTGAGTTTGCGCTGATTTGAGTGTGTGAGAGCAGTCCTGTGATAATCCAGTCGAAAAGCACAGTAAAGCTTAGGTACCGATACGAAGACCACGGATTCTGTAGGGAGGAGCGGAAAGTAATCGCAGTCGAGGAATGATTAATAGATTCTCAGCGCAACATTCGATAAGTAGAGGCGGAGGTCCCCCCTGGGACCACGCTCGACATTCCGCGGTGACCGCTCCGTTATACCCCGTTCCCCGCTAAGATTCTTGGAGTAATCTCCTCGGTCCACCCCAATCCCCTTAGAACGTCCCAGCTTCTAAGACCGAAATGTCCAGAGGGAGCGCCAGAATCCCGGCGCGCGCAAAAGCGAATGAGTTGTCTCCGATATTTGCTCGCTGGCGATGATAGTCTCGTCGGCTGGAATCTCTTTCCCAGCACTTGGTTTTAGTCTGAGATTTTTTCCTGCGGAACGCGGCCTTTTCCCTGGTCGAAACTTCGCGACCCGATACGTGGCCGTCGGTGGCTACCTACCTCGACCGTCAGATCTTATGCCCCTGAAAAGTGAAAGACGCGGAGAAGTCCGCTCGCGCGAGCCATTTGGAGCATCCACGTGGAGGTTCACTGAAGTTTCAGAGCGTCTTCCTTGACTTGGACGGGGACGGCTGAATCCTTCTATCTTGTGCCGAATCCCTCTGTTCCAGAGGAAACCTCAGCCGAAGAGAGGATGCTCCCCAAAATCCCCCTAGTCGTTGAAGCACGTCGTGCCGGAGCGAAGTCACACTACGAGAACTTACAATGCGCGATGACCGAAGCGGTGCCTCCGATTGCGGATTGGAAAACTTTCTCGGCGTGTAAGCTGCACCACGATGAGTTTCGCAAAGAGTCGTCGGCTGACTCTGGAGTGATGCTCGTGTGGTCTCGTGGTGCCCGAAAGAGTTGAATCGATGACTGAGCTGATACCAATAGTGGAATTGCGTATCTTCCATGGAAGGAAGATCGAATGATCCCGTCGGGGCAGCGGCAATTAGTCGAGGATTCCTTGTGCGACGCTCAGAGGCACCCAAAAAGGCGCCCAGAGAGTTTTTCCTGTATTTGGACTCCCGATGGAGATCCCTTCGAGTCCACGCGATTCTTCAGAATATTGGAAATATTCTATAATTCAGGACCGATTTGGGAGTTTTGATCAAACTCGAGAAAATACGGAGCGGCTCTTCAAAGAAGATGCAGATTCGGGCCGAATCAATAATCCATAGAGCCCGCCGGGCTCGGCAGCCGACTGGTCGGGCCTCGGACGCTCAGACGAAGTCTTCCGAACTATGAGGGAATCCCACTGCTCATACAGCTCTTCGATTGGAAATCCTTGAGGGTTTTCGAGTTTTCGTTCTCCGGGAAATCCTCGGGAATTTCCACATCTTGAAGATTTTTCCGGTGGATGAGAGAGACTTGAAGTCGCGGAAGGAAGAGCAGCCATTAAGAGAGAAAATTCTATGATCGCGTCCAACGAGCGAGCGAGATTCGATCTCCCGGCTTTTCATCGAGGACTGACCTCGACTCCCCGAGGGACTCGGTTTGGTGGAAGTTGCTGAAGAGCTCGCTGGCTGCCGTCACGGAAAGATCGCTGACAGAGAGATAATTGATCTCGGAGCCAAACTGAGAATCTCTCCCAAACTCTAACCACTTGTCTGTTTGCTTTCCTTCCAGATGGTAAGTACTTTACGGAGGAAGTGTTACGCCCAAAGGAGCTCACGAACAAAGCATCCGGTAGGTGAACACGTCTTCTCACGAGCGTCGGAATGCGAATCGTTGATCAGCGGGCGGGATCCCCAATCGGGTCCGGTCAAGCGGCCCATCAACTCCACGAAGACGTCGGATCGTTCCAAACTTGTTCTAGTCCAATTCAGAGGTGTCAGGCGGGCTGTTCATAATTCTCGTCTTAACTACTAGTTCTCGACTCGGACAGTACGATGTGTTCAAATGTGTGGTCTCGTTCTCGTCTCGGAGCTAAATTAGCGGCACAATAGTGCTCGCTTCATTAGTCATGATCACAATTTGTTTCCGAGCTCAGTGTTCCCCGCTATCTATTCTCTCTATCTCGGCGAACTCTATCTTTCCCCTTTCGTCGTGGGGGTCTCTCCCTTTCCGGCTCGGGCCGGAGGACGGGCCTGAGCTCTGTCTTTGTGCATACGCCCAGCTTTATCTTCGGAGCCGTCGCATTCTGTCACTGTTGTCTGCTGGGAGTGGAAACCGGGCGGAAAGGGAAGAGGTAGGCAGAAGGACCCGCAGCGAAGGACGAGGCGAGCGGCAGCCACCACGAGCCCGGTGTGGGGCTGTTGTGTTGAGGGGGGAGGGGCGCATAGTCAAGTCTGATATGCACGCACAGAAAATGCCTGGCTCATGTCAGACAGAGAGTCGCTTGTCAAAGGCAGTGAGCATTTTGAATTCGCTAGCCTCCTTTGCTAGCTCACTGTGCCATGACCAGCCGCTGTTTCAAGCCTTCCTTGTTTGGTGCCCGGCGTCGACAGTCAATATGTGGGCTAAACACAAAAAGTCGAGGAGCAGATACGACGGATGTCAAAGAGCTTCATTCGATGATGGGGATCCCTTCGAATCAGAGGGATTCCTCGAGAACGAAGCTTACCGGGTCGTTCCGTCCGAGTCGGTGACTCTGGACGATGGACTCATCAACCCCGAGATCGGACCGGATCCCTGATGCAATCGGTGGTTTCTACTCGGGATTCGCCCAATCGCTGATCAATTCACCTGGATCAATTCAGGAAAACAGTCATTGTTCGCGCCGCGATGTTCCTGAATAATTATGTATCCGAACTGTCTGGAGGGAGCTAGGGAGAGGCTAGCATGCTCAGAGCGAGGAGAACCCGTCGGTTTACTGCGAACCTGCCGAAAGTTTCACGGCTGATAAAGTGCAATATTTCCAGTCCGGAATCATTGCACCCATCGAACGGGCGCTTGTTGCCAACTCAGTCAGCTTCGGGATGGAATCTTCCGCAAAACACAAGCTCCAGAGGGTGCGAAGCGACACTAGGCGGTGCCGATTGAGAAACTTCGAGGAGCGGGAAGAAATCCGGCGCGAGGAAGAAATAGAAGACGGAGGCAGACGTCATCGACGGGCTCAGACTGAGCGAGATATATCGGGGGAGATCTGAATGAGCGGACAGGGAGAGAGCTTTCAGGCTCTCAGTCAGTCGGAAGGGATCCGTTTCAAAGGAGCTGCGTTTGCGTTGGTTTTACGCTCCATTTGAGCGCCCGGCGGAGTTCAAAGGCTTGCACGCAGGCGGAGTTTAGCCAATCAGCAACGAAATTAACTCGGCTCGGATGCTCACAGCGGAGTTGCGGTTCGACAGTCGGGCCAGACGAAGCGGAATTCATGAATCCTCTGGTCGTTCCCTCAAAAGTATGTTCGAGCTCTGTCAGTTTCATGATGATTCGCTCGTCTGTCTGTGAATGGTGATCCGTCGTCCCGCGCGATGGCATTCTTTCCACGGGCCGCTTGCGGAGAAGATTCTGATACAGTTCTGCTCGGCCTCGACTGATGAAGACCTACAAAAGCTCAAGGTCGTATCGGACGAGTTTTCCCGCTTTTCTCGACGCTGTCGTTCGGATATCGTGTTGACTGCCGACTTATGTATACGAGGGGCCAATGGCAAGCGGAAAGATGATCCGAGCGCTCTTGAGAAAGATCCGGTGCTAGATCAAACAGCGCCGAGGAAAAAAGAGACCGTCACCTCGAGTGCGGCACGCTCGAAAGAGAGACGGCCAAGGACGAAATATGATGAAAAGGGACGGAAAAGGACCGGAGCAGCTGCCGCATCCACTAGGAATACTGCGAGACCATTTGAATAGCGTGTGGGCTTCTCTTGCCTACGTGCATGAACAGAGGAAATTTATCACTGTTCAACAGACAAGCCAGGTGGGCTTTCTCGTATACTCGCACCGCCTCCAGCTCCATGTGGCCTCGCCGCGGTACATTTGTGAACATCAGCCGTGAGGAAGATGTCATTCGTTGTGGTCGTCGAAATTCCAGCACTTGATAGGGCGTCGAGCCAGTCTACACAGCGACACGCGAGCCGGCGCACGACGACGACGGCAGCAGCAGAACACGATACGATTCGACACTTTTTGCTCCTCTCCGGAGCTCCGACGCGGACGACGCATTTCCATGAGGAGTCAGAAAAACTGGTTGAAAAGATTGCCATCGTCCTCTGTGCGATGTGCATGGACGGCGCGGTTGGCATCCGCGGTCGGAATAATTTCGACTCTAAGCTGCGCGGTTCGAGCTGGGATCCGAACGGCGGCTGTTCGAACGATCTCTCACGTTTCTCTATGATTCCTTCCGATCTTAGATAGCTTGTTGGGCTTCGACTGATAATACTTTGAGCCGCATGGGTCCTCTCAGCCGAGTGAGAGAAAAAAGGCTCGATCGTATTAACTCGCATGGTCCTTCGGAGACGTATAGAAAGTTTCGCGGGGAGCGTGCTCAATGTTGCTTGATGCATGCTCGAGACATCGTTGAATCTTGAGACTTCAGTGAGCGCACATTGCGGCGATAATGCCGCTGATGTCTACGACCACGCTGAGCTCTCAACACGTATGATCGGTCGAAGGTAACCAACAAGTCAGTGATCCACCTCGAGAGCTTATTTGTTTTGGCCCATTAGCCGCTGGCATCATAAGCATCATAATTCAAGCGAGCTCCTCAGCTCGCCAACCAACACACCAACCAACATCGTCCGTTTTCTCGCTCGCCCCCCTCATTGAGCAAGCAGAGTATGTGTTATTATTATGAGAGGTAATTTACACTCAGGTGATTATGGGTACGGACTACTTGAGGGATAGTTTAGTAGAATATCTCTCTCGGTCTACGCCCTGACCCCCTAGTTGTGCGTCAGAGTTGCCGAGCTCCGTCAGAAGGGATTTGAGGCTTGCTTTAAGCCGTACCTAATGGCCAATTCGACGCACGACTTTTGGTCGCCTCGGTGAAATCGTTTTTTTCTCTTTGCGCAAAAATTGGATTTTCGTATCCATGTCGTCCCGTACACTGGTGGACCTCGCAGCCTCAACCACCGACTGTCGGATCTCCCTCTGAGAAAAAATCGCCGGCTGCCACCGACTGAATTCAAATTGACAGCTGGAAAATCTGCTTCTTCCGCGCGAGTCCTTCCTCCGCTTCGAATCTGGCAATTGGATGAGTTGGTTGTTGGGATTAGGCCTTCTCCTCAGGAGTCGTTGCGGCGGGGGACCAACCAAAAACCCGGGGGTTCAATGTAAAGGGGAATCTGACCACTACTCCTGCTTCCGATCCAGAGGGAAAAGCTTTCCAAGGTTCGGAGAACTTCGAAGAGATGACCTAAACATCCTCCGACGGTTTTGAAGACTTCCGATGCACAATTTTTCGGCCTCTCTCGCTCCTCCGATTACGGGGCCACACACAGACGGTGGGGGAGTCAGTCTCGCAAGAGCGCGACTTGCAATACGTCAACGTCAAGTCAGGGCTTGGGACCGGGCGGGAAGGTGGAAGGAGAGCTTCAGCTGGGGAATCATAGGAGTCCATTCGTGACAAATCGACAATAATGCTTCGCGACCACACGTCAATTCGAAACAGGGCTTCAGACGAAAGCTCATGACATCGTTCATGCAGATGACGGGCTGCAAGCTTTTTTCTTCAGGTCGCCGATCTTCGATCTGGAAGGAGAATATCCTTTCCATCGGAGTCACGGCTCGGACAGCAACAGCCTTTCTACCCATCCGAACCCGGAGTAACAATGCCCCATGTTCTAGCTCAGGGCCAGATTCTGTCTAAGGCGAATGAATCCGGGTATACGAGTTCTTCACGATTTTTTTTTCAGGAGCATTGAGTTCCATTTCGAACGCCGTTATCACGCTACCATGCGTCCTGGTCGCTCTGTTGAACATCTCGTGATTCTGAGGATCATAAGCTGTAGCGTGCGGACCGGTGGCGAACCGGGAAAACTTGGGACGCCCTGGAAATCGCCCCAGGTCGTCGGTGTGATCATATCGTGGAACGCAGATCCGGACACCTGCAATTCTGACACATGAGCGCGTTTGTGTGTTCGGATCTCGAGGCATTTGGCACTGCACTGTACACACCTTGTAAATAGATGAGGAACTCGGATGAAATGTCGGACCGACCACGGTCGCTGAGAAAATGTGAGAAGGATGAGAACACGGACGACGAACGGAAGGAGTTTCGGGAAGCCAAATCAGACTCTGTGTTCGAACGACTGAGCATAAGTGGAATTTGTAATGATTCATCACGTTGCGTCGACTGTTTGACGGATCGACCGGATAGCATACTCGACTGTCGCTAGGGCGGTAGATCGGTCGATCAGGTGATCACCCAATCGGTCTAGGATTTACAGCCTGTTGCATATGAGAGAAATTGACAAGGTATCGCGAACTTGCTCGTAATGTCTGAAAAGGAGCGAATGGATGAGGTAGACGATCTCTACGTACATTTGATAAAGTCCTCGCCGTCATCATCCTTAACGTCCAACGTCGTGGCAGTGCTCTCAAAGTTCGTGGAACCTCCCTGTGCTTACTCGAAAGCTGGACGGAGAGCATATTCGCAGACAAGGACCAAACACGGAAACCGTCGAGTGATTTGTTGCCGCGAAGCCGGAGGTTCTTCTGAGCAGTTTTCCGGGGCTGCTACGAGGGCACCCACCGCGAAAGTGATGTTTGTATTATATGTATGTCTATAGTACTAGGTATCTTCTGAGAGATCGCCTCCTGCTGTATACGGAGCTGAGGAGTAGGGCTTTTTGACGATCATGAGGGATTGGATTGCTCGCATCTTGACCTGTCAGAATCGACAGCAGAATAGCAATGCTTGAAACCCTGTTGTAGGGAAATGTTCCGTCATTCGGGAGGCCATCTCTCCGAGTCGTGAGTCGAGCCATACAGCTGAGCAGACTGAGGAGCAGGGATATATGATACTTACAAATGTCGGAGACAGGGAGAGCACGACACCAGGGAACTTCAAACTGCAGCCAACATTTAAGAGAAATGACAGTGGAGAATTGAAATTATCGCAACAACATTATAATCTTCATCCTCATGATTAGACATGAAATATCGAGTCCCTCCTGCGTTCTTAATAATTTCAACCCTATCGATCCGGTACGTAGGCGTGTGATCAAATCATTGATCTGTTTTCTAGTCAACCCACCCCTGTGTCACCTCCTGAACCAGAATGGCCGTGTATCGCGTGGGTATTTGTTCGGTATCGAAAAATAACACGGACATTCCTCACAGCTTGAGTCCGAGGTAAACGGGTTGTTGAAGTTGTTGGAGTTCGATTACCGATTCAGGAATTGTGACCGGATGGAGTCGGAATTCAAAGGAAATGAACGGTCGATGCGACATCATACTATCCGGCATCCGAATTATAGACAACAACGTGGAGTGTAGGAAACAATTTTCGACCGTGTGGACCTGAGAATGTGGAAAATTGTCAAGAATAAACTCTGGCAGAAGAGATAATTTTGGACAAATGTATAATGATCGTGTGTTTTCCTTTTTCTTCGGGAGCTCTCTCTCTCTCGCTTTGATTCAGCGCGGAATTGTAGGGACAGGTGCGAGAGGTATTCAAGCATGTGGTTCGTTCTGGGTTTTACAGATATCTTGAAGCAATCTGGTAAGTCGCACTGTATACGCTCGTCGCGCCGGAATTGAACTCTCCGTCGCAAATCCAATTAGTGGGATGGTCTTCTGTCCCGCGCGCTTCATTCGAAAAACTCCACGAGGCAAATGGAATTGGACACAGTGCACGGCCTAAGATTCGGGTCGGAATGAACACCCATTCTCGGAGTCTACGTATAAGTGACACAGCGATAGTCGGCGTTCTGACTCTGCACCAGCGCGTTATTTGCGTGTGTGTTTGCGATTGCATGTCTCGTAGGCGGTGGCAGTCGACGGCAGGACACGCTATACATGAAGTGAGCGTATCCAGGGTGTATGTAGGCCTATGAGCTGAGCATATCTACCGGAGTGCCTCGCTACCGGCGGAGGAAGAAGTCAGGTACAACTACATGCAACTACGGTAAAGGAATAATAGGAGTACAACTGGAAAGGTTGTTCTTGGGCAAGGAGCAGCGGGATACAGGCGAATACGGCGAACACCAAATACACAGCATGGGACGCTTCGCGTGAGGCAGGGAGAGAAATTTCTGCAGAAAGGACACCTTGCGATACGCGGGAGCTCAAAATGGAGAGAATGCACAGAGAGCAAACCTTTCAGAAGTCAGTCGGTTTGCCACAAGCCCACGCTGTTTTCAGTCCGTTCTGACCCGCCGGCAGACTCGCTGGGAAAAGTAGACACGTGAGTGGGTGAATAAGAACGGAGGCGTAGCCAAAGAGGAAAGTTCGAACGAAGAGGGTTTGTTGCTGTTGAACCGAATGATGGAGAAAAAACTGTGTTAAGGCAAGCGGAAGACCAGCGGTCGGTCCAGCTCCGCTGCCCAGCCTGGGCAGACATTGATTGGATCCAAAGTACCTCATGGTCGTTGACCGCGCGCTTCCATGTCTGGCAACAGTGACGGTTTCCCGAACCTGTGGCGAACAGCTGCTAATTCGCTCCGATTGGCCAGCGCAAGCGAGGTAGAAGGGATTCTGGCAAAAATACGCCGGGTGAGCCGACAGATGATAACACTGCCACCTACGACAGATGATGCAAAGATATTTCAGTCGACTCCAAGATCATCCAACAATCGATGATGCTGTCGTCAGCATTTCCAGAAACGTCCGACGGTCTGTTCCGCTGAACGCTCACGTCCGCCGCGTGGACATAGAGGTCCCTCTTCAAACTTCCCTTGGGCTATGCCTATATTTCGACGCTTGCCAAGCAAACGTCGATGACGACGACAGCAGCAGCTACGACGACGAGCGTTGACAAAGACTCCGGACCATTACGATGTCGCATCGCAAATAGACCAGCTCTGGAGGGGACGCAATCGGAGCAAGTATCCGCCGCTCGTCCGCAGGACAACATCGTGTGGCAACATCGTACTCGAGTCTCTTTGCGGCCAGCCCATTCAGATCTCGGCTCTCTTGTCCCCTAGGCTCGTCTCCAAGCTCCTGGCCCGTGCGTTTCCTCAAATTATTCGGGGTTTGCCTCTTTGAACGATGAGCAGACTCACACGAAGCGTCGCAAGTTGCCAAGACGGAGCGTCACTCCGATTTCCTCGCTACATCCGAAAGGCTCCGATGACGATCGCATCAGCCGAGTGGAAAAATTACCGTTCGCTGGGAAAACTCTTCAGACCACGCCGCGAGGCAGGGAAATGTTGGACCACGCTTATAAAGTTGGGAGATTGTCGTTGGGAAGTATCATCGCCAGTTCAGACTTCCGCAGAGGCATGCCCTCTCTGGGCTCGAGCCGGGCTACTATGCAGCAGCCCGCAAGCTTCTGCTAGCCAAGAGAGTTTGGGTGATACATCCTCGAAATTGTTCAATTAGGGTAAAATGCCTCGTTTGCGAGGCCTTATTGCCCCCAACCGCCCTCATATTCACCCACTCGTCCCTACGAATCCCCGTTCCGGGTCCATGCAAACCCCTACAACATACTAGCATGACCCTCGGTCCCTCGCGCCTTGTCCGCTTGGTGCCACTTTTTACGCTCCGTACTTGCCCCAGATTCGCCCTTTCTTTGCTCTACCGCCGAGCTCCGGGAATTTATCTACGCCATCCCCCGCTCGAGTGAAGCCATTCTCAGCTCCGCCGAAACATATCATAGCATGCGACGGCGGACACGAAATTCGTCGACGACCCTGATCTCATTTTGTCGAATCCGTTCAGCCTGAATATTCAGACGGACACTCCCATCCAGATCGGTTCCAGGACATTTCCGCGCTCGACACGGGCACATTGTTTTCGTCCGCCCGAACTCAACGCAGCATCCGTTCGATCTGCCGCCGGCGCCGGTAGGGGGAATTACCGCGAGGAAGAAGCCGACACGAGACCTTGAATGAATTCCAACTCCCTCGAGAGAAGCAACAAGCTCTGAATGAAAACTCCGTCGGTGGCCGCTGGAATCTCTCGAACCGGAGGCTTTTTCCCTATAGAGGAATGATAGAAACACCAATGTCGTTTCGCCTCGTCACCTGTACACATGTCTGCTGGATGTCCTGTCGCAGCGAGATTCCCAATGGATTTCATCAAACTGTTTTGTTCCCGCAATATTTACTCAGAGATTGTCCCTTGAGCGGTGTACGATTGCTCAGCGAGCTCGCCCGGCTCCCGCTCGAATTATTGTCACATCGACTCTGCAGCGCCTGATTCAACACAGGGATTGTTTTCCAGACATAGCTCTGCAGGGAAAAAATTGTCCCCTCTTGTTTGCGCTCCAATCCTCCATTGCACCAATTCACTCCCGAAAAACTTTCCCCGCATAAGAACGAGCGATACCCAAAGAGGATCTGAAGCGGTACTGGCTGTTCCCGAGATGATGATCTCCGGCGTCCGCCTCATTCTCCACGGACCCTCACAAGTTCTCGGGATAATCTTTTGAACGAACAACACCAATGACGCGGACGCTACAGGTGAGAGCGGGAGTGAGCCCGTCTGCTTTCCAGCACATAGATCCCGGATCGGGATTCAGACTAGAGCTCGTTGACTAAATGGACATACTTCGGAGGGGATTTCCAATAGCCCATCGCTACCTCCGGTTCCGTGCCTGTACCGCGCTGAAGATCACCGAATTCTCTCACTTCACGCTTATTTCGCGAAACTCTTGGATGCCCCCTTGCGCTCACCGAGGCGGGACGGTCTGGCCGAGAACTTCGGATTCAAAGCGGCAGCCTTAGGACGGGAATCAGTCCACTGTTCAACTTCGGATTTCATTCCGAAAGCCGAGTGTCAGTGGACTGACGTTTTATAGTTGAGACTCCAGGGTGCTGCTGC